TATTGAAAAGAATATTTAGTACACATGGACTATCAAATACAATTGTATCAGACAATCATCAAAGCTTTAAATCCCAAGAAATGGAAGAATTTATATGAAAAAAAATGGGATACAGCACATATTTACCCCTCCATATCATCCCTCTTCCAACACACAAGTAGAGAGACTATAAAGAGGAGAATTGAAAAATTACATCACAGCCAAGAAAAAAGTGAGGTGTTGCTCCACATACTTGTTTAGCTTACGCACAACACCTAGTAGCACTACAAGAAAAATGGCAGCAGAACTGTTGATGGGAAGAAGACTACGTACCGTCTATGATCGATTAAATCCACACCTATATAATGAGAGAAAAGAGGAAACAAGAATACGAGAATTCCAAATAGGAGACATCAATTACAGGTGCTATAGAGATGCAAAGAAGTGGAAACCAGGTAAGTGACAAAGAAGACTGGACTATATACATATATGATAGCTTCACAGAAAGAAGTATAGAAAGGAGACATGTTGATCAACTGATAGCTCGAAGAGAACCACCACTCCAGAACAGACAACGTCCAGTTTGTCAGAACAACCAATATCCAGCTCCCCCAGAATAATCAACATCAGGACAAAGGATCACCGGTTAGGAGGAGCTCTAGAACACGGACACTACCTGCACATCTCTGAGACTTCATTTTACGAGGGCTGTTTGGAAAGTTTGCGGCCTTGCCTATATGCGGCGCTGCGATCAATTTAATTTTTGGCGGGAATAATTCCGCCTTCTTTGCTAAAGATATGATACCAATTTCCACTTGATTTGTCAAAAAGTTTTGCCACGACAGCTTAGCAGATAGTCAGTGTGCACATGCTTTGTCAAAAATGGAGAAGANTATATGCGGCGCTGCGATCAATTTAATTTTTGGCGGGAATAATTCCGCCTTCTTTGCTAAAGATATGATACCAATTTCCACTTGATTTGTCAAAAAGTTTTGCCACGACAGCTTAGCAGATAGTCAGTGTGCACATGCTTTGTCAAAAATGGAGAAGATGGAGACTCGTGCGGTCATGAAAAAACCTGACGAAAAAAGGATTGACCGCATCTCAAATCAAAGCTGAATGGATGAAGTTTTAGGAGAGTCTGCTCCTTCGTACACCACTGTGAAAAAATGGACAGCCCTTTTTAACTCTGGCAGAGAAAGTGTGGAAGATGACCCTCGCAGCGGACGGCCGTCAACTGCTGTCATTGAAGAAAACATCCACAAAGTTCACGATTTGGTATTAGCAGATTGCCGTTTGAAAACGCGTGAGATAGCTGAGACAACAGGCATCTCTGTCGACCGAGTGCACCACATCCTAACCGAAGATTTGGGTATGACGAAGGTCTCAGCAAGGTGGGTGCCGCATCTGCTGACCGCCGAGCAAAAACGTGTTCGCACTTTGATGTCAAAGGAGTGTTTGGACTTCTACCAGAAAAACCCACAGGATTTCTTGCGTCGGTTTGTGACTACTGACGAAACGTGGATCCATTACTACACTCCTGAAACAAAAGAACAGTCGAAGCAATGGAAACACCACAGTTCGCCACCACCAAAGAAGGCAAAGACAGTTCCATCAGCGGGTAAAGTGATGGCCTCGGTTTTTTGGGATGCTAAAGGCATCATCTTTATTGACTACCTAGAAAGAGGAAAGACCATTAATGCTGTCTATTACTGTGAACTTTTGGAAAAACTGAAGAAAGAAATCGAAGAAAAGAGGCCACACTTGAAGAAGAAAAAAGTTCTGTTCCACCACGATAATGCACCTGCACATTCCGCCAGAATCACTGAACAAAAGATAAACGAACTTCGCTTCCAATTAGTTCCACATCCACCGTACTCACCTGATTTGGCCCCCAGTGACTTCCACCTTTTTCCAAACCTAAAAAAATTCTTGGCTGGAAAGAGATTCCACTCAAATGACGAAGTCATCTCTGAAATGAACGAGTATTTTGCACACCTTGACAAATCGACATATTGTGATGGCATAAAAAAGCTAGAACATTGCTGGAATAAGTGCATTGCTAACAGAGGAGATTACATTGAAAAATAAAAAAAGTTTTAACATTATTTTGTTTGTTTTTCTATGTGAGGCCGCGAACTTTCTGAACAGCCTTCGTAGAGGGGAAAGATCTGTTGTAACTTGATGTGAGTGTCAGGTCAAAGGTGGAAAATACTACATACTTTTCGAATGTCTGAGGGAGTTCTTGTGTAGTCATCACCCCCAGTCAGTTGTATCCGAGAGTGAATAAAGCTAATTGTTAATTAACTACGTGTTTTTATGTGAAACAGTGTTGGAAAAAAAATTGATATAAAATATGTTATCCAATTGAAAAAGTGCCAGTAAGGCCAAAACGCATTTTGGAAAGGTTGATTAATTTAAATATGCCACGGGTATAATAAGCTTGTTCATTAGTCCTAAATAACTGTTTTTGTAATTGGACCGTTTATTTTGAAAGTGGTGTAAGTCCATTTTTGGAAAAAATTGAGAAAACACATAATATACATACAATTTAGTGTGAACTTTTTATTTATAAACAATTCACACTTAACATTTTAAAATAACCATAAGCTTTGATCAATTGAAAATTTATCGATAAATGACATTGCATAACCATTGATTTTGAAAGTGGTATAAGTCCATTTTCTACAGTCTAAGCACTTGGGCTATCCATAAATTACATGTGCATTTTTCTTGAAATGTTTACTTATCCCTCTTGTTTCAGTTTGTCAAAGTTTTTGTAACCCCTTTCCCTCTATGGATGTCCAACATAACTCTATCCCTGTTAAAACCTTCATCACTTTATGAATGATAGATACCATAAGTAGAAATGAAACATACAAGAAACTTTGAAATAAATATAATAAAATGCATATTGTATAAAATTTAATGAAATAAATGGATGTCCGCTAATACTCAACCCTCCTTGTCCAACTTGTCTTAACCCCTCCCTCCCTTTCAGTGTGGACATCATTTAAAAACAGCCCCTTACAACAGAGGAGTAAAACTATAAATATTACCAACAAATGTACAATTTGATAGACTAGAAAAAAATCCATGTAATGAATCTAAATGAAAAGCAGTGTCTAATGGTAAGCTCATAATAATGATAAATTTATCATAAAATAGTTTAACAATAAGTAAATATTTTTAATGTTCAGAATAAACAATACTATTTTATTTTTTGTTATTATATATGAACAAAATCAGAATAAAACGCAATGTGTTTCAAGTGACATTGAGTTTTACATAATAGAAATTTAATGAATTTTACAGTTTAGTAATTATGAAAGTGGTGTAAGTCCATTTATGGCCCAGAAAGAATATATTAGTTTGGATAAATTCACATAGAAGTCTTTATGCAATCAACTTACATATTTCTAAAGTCATAGAAACATTGTCAAACTTAGTACACTTTGTTTATATTTTTGAATCAACTAAAATGCAAATGTTTAAATATCTCGAAAGAAGAAAAAATGGACTTACACCACTTTCAAAATAAACGGTCCAATTAATAAAGGCAAGACGATTTATTATATATTTGTAAATCTTTAATACAAGTCATTTGAATAAACAGAATGGGAAAATAGATAATTATGAATGTTGACTTTTTCAGTTTTACTATCATGTATTTAACATGGAATATATTGCAATAATGTCAAATTCAACTGTGAAGGTTTTTTGAAAATCTCTACATTGTTTTTGTGGGTTCTGTCAAAATGGGGGAAAATTCTGTGGGTGTATGTTGATGTCTGTCATTTTAATATCTCAGGATAGGATACAGATTAAGAAGCAAAAGTTTGCATGGTAACTTGTATATACGGAGCATTGATGTTATATAATTTTGGTTGTTAAAGATCAAGGATGGGATAGATAGGTCATATCTCAAGTGGAGTCAAGATTTAATGAAATTATTATTTGTTGGTATTTACAACTTTCTTTTTGTGAAACTATTCTCTACCCTCAAAATTAAGCCTTTTGCCCGTTTCTATTATTATTATTATGTTCGGTTTAGTCAGGTTACTCGGTTCACACTGGTGGCCGTGTACTATACCGGACCAGAGTCAAGTCATAGCAACCAAAAACAAAAATTAAATAAGTGTGTCAGTGTCTGTATTCAGGAATTTCCTAACAATGTGGCATGTATTCAATATAGTGGCCTTCTGTAGTGTGATGTATGTATTTCTACTCAATTGTAATGTTCCCAGGCTTTTGTGTAGTGTGTGTANGTTAACTATGTCAACCAGGCCACGTCCGCCATCTTTACATGGAAGGGTTAATCTTTCTATAGCGGATTTAGGATGATGATGTTTATGCTTAGTAATTATTATTATTATAAGTTATTTTCTAATGAAAGTTTGTAACAGATGGCACCACATACAATTTTAACTTTATGCTAATATAGCTTTTTCTTAAATATAAATATTTTTCACTGGAGAAGTATGCAACTTCCTGTTTTGATATTGTGATAAGAAAAATGTGAATATTACTGCACTCTTAAAATCATTTTTAATGTTCTAAAATGTTCATTTGAACTTATTTTTAGAAAATGAATAATAGCTAAACAATCATTAATGAATATGTAACTATAATTTAAGGAGACAAAACATGGAGACTAAATAATTTATATTCTTTAAAATTTGATGTTATACTCACCACAAATTAAGTATAATTAGAGTTTTATGATGCTATAAGTGGTGCTTAAAAATAGTTTTAGAAGATTTAAACTATTTTTGAAGTTTCAATAGATAGTAGTTTGATGAAAAACACATATTGTAAGATTATTCATCATTAGAGATTGATAATTAGAAGAAAGCAAGCAAAATGAGTATCTATCAAAATTGTTCAGAAAGAATTGGAATATTGCTTGAATGTGAACAAAATGCACTATAATTGATGCTAATACTGTTTGTACAATTTTATTTACTGAAACTTGTAAAAATCTTATAAATTTTAAATATTTATAATTATTCTGTTTCTAGAAATTTTCATTATATTGAAAGGAATGGCAATGAGTATTTCTACACACTTCAAGATTATCCTCAAACTATTTCTAAAAAAGTAACACTGCTGAAATATTTTCAAAATTACATGAACGAACATCTATTAAAGGCTGGTGAAAGCATTGTACCACGCGAAGGTGACGAGATTTCTCGTCTTCCGCATCTACGTGCCTGGTTTAGAACAAAAAGTGCAATTGTTCTCCATCTAGCAAATGGAACACTTCAGGTATTATTAATACATATTGTAGTGTTTTTAATTTAAAAACTATTCAATGCATTAATTTTAACAATTATAAATTTTTTTAGATCAATTTCTTCGACGATCACACCAAGATCATCTTATGCCCATTGATGGGTGCTGTGTCTTATATAGATGGAAAAAGAGATTTCAAAACTTATCGTCTCAACTTAATTACAAAGTATGGATGCACGCGTGAATTGGCATCTAGGTTACGATATGCCAAAACAATAACAGAGAGGTTGATGGCGACTAAATCAGGATCTGTCAAGGGAAGGCCGTTGTAATTTTTTTTAAATCCAGTTTTTCTTTTGAGTCTTGTTTGGTGACGCTGTAACCAATTTTATATTGTAGTATTTCAGAAGGAAAATTCAATGTATTTGTCTCTGAATTGTTTAAAAAATTTGAAGAAACACTTTTGTTACAGAAGTATTTATTTTTCATGCATTTTGGTAAATCAATACATTTTTTTGGGCATTATATTTTCATTGTCTAACACACAGATTTCCATTCTAAGTGATTTTAGTCATATATACAAATGGAAACTTTTTAATAAAAATTGTAAATAATCATGTAATTTAATTACTTTTGCTTTCTGTGTTGATACTGATTTATAAATATTTTAGTCACAGTTCTTAAATGGAATTTTCTTACGTCCAAGGTAAATAATTCACATGAATAATAATTCCAAACAAAAAGTAGAGCAAAAAATAAGCAAATATCAGTTTTGTTCTTGGATCGTGCCAAGTGATGTAGTTGTTGGGTACTGAAATTAATTGAGAGAATTTTACAGAGAACTCTGATTTACCCACAACCGGGTGGTCCTTTGATATCTCTTTGCTGACGGTTCTAGCTGCAACCCAGTAAAGAACTGGACTGGATGAGGCCAACAGTCTGGCGATTACCTATAAATGTATATGAAAATTGAAATATTTATCTTGTTGTATTGATATAATTAATTTCAACTACATGCAAACTTGTTTTTTTTTTTTTTTTAATGTATTAAGTTTATTATAGACAAAATTATTACTGTTAAGATGATTATCAGTTTTTCAAATGGTTTTGTAATTTGTCTCCCTTAGGAATTAGTTTTTTCATGAAAAATTGTATTTTAGAAGACATTCTTTTTAAATAAATATCATAAATTTAAAAATTGTCGTGGTTCTTTCTTAAAATTTTGACAACTCTTTACTAAAATTTAACACATTAAACAAATGTGTAAATTGTACAGCAAATATCATCATATATTAATTACAAGGAAATAAAAAGTTAAGAAGAAATATTTGAGACCCCTTGGTTTGTAAACCAATGTGCTCTTAAGTGTAATGTGAACCGTCAGGGACAGTCGCACCTCCCTTTCCGGCCACTTGTCAAGATGGCTATACTATGATTTCTGGTCCTGAGAGTCAGGACTTCTGCTCTATGTTGGTCGAGTGGCGGGAGAGTAATCGGTGTTGACGATAAGGCGTGGGCAGTATATGTGTAAAGGAGTATACCATTTAACAAATAAAAACAAGTTTATTTCCACTAGACAAGATCGACTAATCTTGACGTTAAAATGCCTAAAGGCTCAAGAGAGTTTATATGGGTTTTCATACCTCTTTGTAGGTTTTGACAAAGATTCGAGTTCATTAATGGCACAAAAATATCCAACAAGTGGATTTTTAGGGTAATCCAAATTGGCACATGTATGAAAGTTCGCGACGGATGGTATCGATGTTGGAGCTTCGGAATTCACGGCGGGTTCGGCGATTCAACTCAAGGTATTCGATGATGTCAGTCCGGCTTTTGTTAAGAGAGTCCCCCAAGAGGGGTAGAAAGCATCTTTTATAGCTTTTTGCTGGGGAAATCGGTCACATGATTGGTTGTTATAGGAGATAAAGGTTATAGGTGTTCCTGGGACCCAAAACAAATGACGAAATTTGGATGCTAACTATAAACTTTTGTGTAAGTCAAGCTGCACAAAAGTGTGTGGGAACAATAGAATGTTGACAGTTATGAAATGAGGGTTTCAAATGTTCCCAGCTAAGATCATTTTCTTTTCCAATCTGTTATATAACAAAAGTAGAAATAATTAATTTTTAGATTAATAAAATTCCACCATAACATCCCATTTGGCAATACTGAACAGATAGAATGAACTATCAAGGCTGGGCTCTCAGATATATACAATTCTCATCCTTTATCTGCTAGTTTTCTTCAAAGCATTCTTTGTTTGAAGGTAATGGATAAGTGAGACAGATTGTCTTTGGCTGTCTTTTTGCATCAGTTAGATTTGTGTGTCTCCATCTTTTGGTAAAATAGATAGAAGGATATCTTTGCTGATAATAGGTTAGCAACTCTTCCATGGGTTGTGTTCTATTTGTCCCATTGTGTCTTCCTATCTAAGTGTCTTGAGAATTCAAAGTTTAGATTACTCAAGACACATGTCAATGGCCTAATTCATCCCTGCATGCAAACAACACAATCTTTTATATGTCCACCAATCCTCTAACTAAACTTGGCCTTACTTTAACTGTCAATTAACAGTATCAATACATAAACTAGGCAAATTTTGACAGCAGAGCAGTTGTGGCTTAGTATTTCTAAATGATGTCAATAGAAAAGTAGTCTTGTTAATTAATAAGCTCAAATAGAAGTATGATTTTTATGGGCCAAAAAAATTTCACCTGCTCAGTGACAGATTCAAGGGGAAAACTACAGCTGCTTAAGTCCTCTCCATTGTTGAACAATTAAGCCGCATTTGACAAAAACATTTTTCTTCTTATCAGAACATCTTCAGCACAACCTTCATGCATATGTTAATGAAAGGTGTTTAAAAATATTTGAATAATTATAATTTCAGGAGAGAGCCCTTTCAGTAGGTGTAGTGAATCCTGAAATCCATCAGCTCATCAAGATGTGTGGAACAGTGACTTGTCAAGGACAACATTGTTCCTTCATACCTTGCAGAATGGTAGTGAGGGTTTGCAAATGGACAAGAAAATATGACAAAAATCACAGTGGGTGTTCAAGATTTATTTATTAATTGTTTTTGACCTGGCATATGAAAGTAAAGTAGAAGTGAAAGCAGTTGTTACTGGAAAGCTGTATTAAAGGACAAACTTTTTCTTGTTACATATTGTGATAAATGCCCAATCATGCTATTTTTCAAAAAATATCCTATTGCTTGCAGATAATATCCTATTTATTTGCAAAAAATATCCTATTGCTTGCATCCTGCAATTTTTCATTTCTGCCATAAAATCCATTTATTACTGGTTTTGTAAAGCTAGTTTTTGATAATTTTCAATTTTAGTACATCGCAATTCACTGATGCACCATTTGATGCATACCGGAATGTATCTCATGCTTTTATATGCAAAGTACAGTGCAAAAATAAGTGATTTCTATGTAAATAAGAACTTGTTCTTATTTACATAGAAATCACCTATTTTTGCACTGTGTTCATAGTTCATAGGCCATAAGTGCACTGTGTTTTTGCATAGAAATCACTTATTTTTGCACTGTGTAATGTGTTTGTGTAAATAAGAACTTGTTCTTATTTACACAAACACATTACAGTAGAGCATCGATTATCCAACCCCCAATCAACCGTCACATCGGTTAACCGACCGCGTTCTAGTTGGCAAATTCAAATGTCTGCTAGTGATGTGGTGCTACAATATTTGGCTATGTCTTGGCTACTTTAATAGTATTTTTATGTGTTTTAGCTGGCAACATTGGCTCGACGATGAAAGGGAGCCAGTATTTAAACGAGGCTTAATTTTCTAATTTTTAACGATACAATAGCGACGATTATTATTTTTAAAAAATATTTGTTAGGCTTAACATCGATGAAAATTCAACGTGAAGTAGATTAATAGCGATATACTAATTACATGGGATATACTAATATACTATAGTAATAATGTATTTTTTCATATTTTTCGGTTATCCGACCAACCCCAGTCCCCAATTGAGTCGGATAATCGATGCTCTACTGTATTTGTAAATGATTATTGTCTTTATAATGCATTACCTTCAACTTAATTTTGATATCATGTTATATATATGTTACCGCTAAAGCTCGAAAGCTATTAGCTAGGTAATGTGTACATTACCTAGCTAATCTCCAGATTAACTAGGGTAATCAGTGAATGTGTGGAATTAAGAGTTTTCCGCATTTTACCTAGGTAATCTGCACATTAACAGCTTCCATATCATTAACCCCTTCATTCCCGATCAACTTTTAATTAATTATAATTAAACATAAAAAATACTTAAAACTGAAAAAACAAAAGAAATGCGTTAATTTTGAAGAAAAAGCTTCAAATTTTATTTTCCTTTGTTTCCTCTTTTNGCTTAAGCTTGTGTTCGTCGCGGAGCAGCGCACCAAACGGCGGCCGCGATTTCTGATGTTATTTTTATGCGAAAAATTCGTTGAACTTTGGAGACATCATTAATATAAATAATTTTAATCGCCGTTGAATACGAAATGTTTCTTTCACAAGAAATGTATAAAATTACAGTACTGTATTAGACTTACGGTACCGAATTTACATACTGTACAGACGATAGTAAACTCAACTTACCCGCCTAAACTCTCCGTAGCGGGGCGCTGGACGGCGGAAAATAGTTCGGCTGCTCGTCCGCGATGACGTTTTACCGCGTTTTACGAGTTCCTTTTAGCGTCTTTATACGAATACCGTCGCAATTTTTTCGCCGCGTTATAGGAATCTACGTTATAGGAACCCGCGTTGTAGGGGAGTCTACTGTATAGCACACACGTCCATTTATATATATATAGATTTATTCTAATTACACATTCAAATTTAATGAAAGTAATACAGAATTCTTTCAGAAATCCAAACTATTATATGGGATTTTTTGAGCATGATAACATATTAACAATTAATAGGCTAATTTAATGATTAAAAATTTAAATTAACATTTTGAAGGAAAAGAAACAAAAGGACTTGATATACAGTATATACAATAATTTTTATTCATTTTTGCTTTCAAGTTCTGTACCTTTTAACTAGAAATAATCTGAAAAACTAACATTTTCCAAAAAACTTTTGTTGTTTATTATTAAATACAGTACTGCCTATACTATTTGCATTAAGTTTAATTAACTTATCAAACAACTCATAATCATTTTGATATATGTATATATAAAAAAATTTTATTCATACAAAAAATAATTATTTTACAAAAGTTTTATTTGAATTTTATGATGTTTTATTTATGAATTATGAATATCAAAGTCTGTAATTATACACAAATTTCAATAAGAAATTAATAACTACATATTTCGCATTCATTGAAAGCTTGTATTATTGTATTCTTAACAGTTGTCTCTCTTTGAACAGTCCAATCCCCAGAATCATCTCCATTACATTCATCAGACTGAATAACCATATCTAAAACAAGTGAATCATCCTTACATAATACAGTTATATTGTGGAGAACAC